TGCTGAAGGGGAAATGGCAAAAACCAGCATCACATACCTGGTCCCACCTGGAAAGGGTTGGCGATCTGGTTAGCAGGAAGTGAATGGGATTTGGAAAGATGCTATGCTTGGAGACCAATTAGCTCTGAGACTTTAGGTAATTCCCCACTCTTTGCAGCCTTGGCTTCCTTCGCGGCGGTAGCGGCGCCAGCTTCATCTAGGGCCGGCTCCTTCAGGCCTCAGAGCCTTTGCACTAGTCGTTTCCTCTGCTGAAGTCACTCTGCCCTTCTCCCCATCTGGCTGCCTTTCACTACTCCGCCGACAAGGCTGGAGAGGTGACCTTACTACCTATCCCACAGAAGGCAAGGCCGGGAGGTGCTCTGGCCACAGTCCCAGAGTCCACATCTTCCATAGCCACTGTATCTGAAGCAGAGGTCCCCTCCCCTTATTCTCCAACTGATTCATGTACCTCCCAACATTTATAACTTGTCATTATTTTGGCTACTGGCTATTTCCTTGGGTCTTTTCAGTTTTCTCCTCTCAGGATGCCCCGCCCTCTTGGGGGCCGCTTTACTCTCCAGGCCTGGAACATGGGAGTTCTCGGGGCCCGATGAGAGTTCGTGAAATGACAAGAGAAACAACTGTGGGAACCCTAGGCCTGAGAACTTAGCGAAAACTGAAGGGGTCTGGGCTGATCCCAATCTACAGGCGGAGGCGGGACGTCGGGCGGATTTTGGGCGGAGCGCGGGGGAATCTGGGCGGAGCCTCGGGCTCGATTGGGGCGTCGGGGCGGGGCTTCGGGGCTGCTGCGGAGTCGGTCTGACCTAGGCGCCCAGGCTACGCCTGATTGAGTTGTTCTGGCCGCTCGGCCCTCCGGCCACCATCCCACGCCGACGTTAGGGGGCGTCTGCGCTCGTGGCGCTGCGTCTCGGCTGGGAAGGCGCCGCCCGCGCTGGGCGGCAGGAGCCGCAACTCCGGGCGCGGGCTCAGTCGTCCCTTCTGCCGCCGCCGCCGCCGGGCGCGGGCTCACTCGTCCACGCGTTCTCGTTCTGCGGCCGCCGGCGTCTCCCGGCCCGGCCACCACCGCTGCTGCAGCGCAGTGAGTAGTAGGGGCGGGCCCACGGCTTGGGGGCCCGGCTCGGGAGGGCCGGGCACTAGCAGAAGCCCGCGCGGAGCAGCCTGGGGAGCGGGGTTGAGGGGAATCCGGGCGGCGGCGGGGCCACACTGAAGGGGCCGTGGGGAGCCCGGGCGGCGCGCTCCGGGGCTGGCACGAGCTTGCGGCGGGCTGGC